AGCAACCTGTATCTGTCTTCATACTATTTTAAATGTGCAATAATCAAATGAAAGGAGTTCCTTAATGTGTTTGTTCATTTCGGTGTTTAATTGATACTAAGATTATAAATAAGATAAGATTGACAATAATCATGTGTTTATTTTGGTAACTGCTTTTTCAACACCTCTAAAACAAACGTCATATAAAACTGCAGCCATTAACAATATTTAATTTGCAATCCCTCCTCCATCCTGTATGTGGTTATTCTGTAGGTGCTCCAGTTAACTCTCACCACCAGAAGATATGCTGGTTTGGTCAACTGGCTGTTTATTACAGGCTAATTGATTTCATTTTTCTTTTTGAGGCATATTAGTAAATTGGATTTCAAGTCTTAAAAGGACTAATGGGATTTATAATTGGTATCAACCTTGTACCAATTTCTGAGTTTCAGAACTGCCTTCCTTCAGCTGCGTTGCCTGAAATATAACCAATTGGACCTCTGCACAATAATTAGGGGCACAATAATTAGTATGATACTATACCAGTTAAGAGCTTTTTAGTCAAAAATAATAGCAAGAAAGTTGAGAAGAGGTCATTCTAAGTTCTGTGTGCTGGAGCTGGACTGTTTGAGTAGAGTATTATTGATACTCAGAACTCACCAAAGAAACAAATTAAATAAAAGTCTCAATAAGCAAGCAGATCAATTAAGTCGTCAAACAGCACTGAAGAATTAGAGCTGGAGAGTGTTCCTCCATAACTGAGACAAGGAACCACAGCTCTTGTGCAGGGTGTTAACTGCACCTTCTTGGACAGACTCTGGGGTGCCATAACCCTTACCAGGATTAAGCAGCTTCAGAGATTATTACAATCGTATAACAAAAATAAATATTAATTTGTTCACACGGTATATTTACATGAAGGTGTTCAAGTGGAGAGTTGCTTCAGCATGCTTTAGCTACAAAGGAACAAGACTTTACAAAGGAAAAACCTTTATTTGTTCCAATGTATTGTTACAGCTGTACAGTAAATGACAATGGAACTGTCTAAAAAGAATCTAGAAACAATGGGTAATGCTAGTGTCAACATTTCCAGCTTCAAAGCAAAGGGGGTGTTTGCTGAGACTTATGGGGTCCAGATTCGCTGATCAAAACAATATCCTGGTGTACAGTATCTTAATTAATTAAATTCTAGATAAATGATTAAGAGTGTAAAAACAGTATGAAAAAACAGACCATGGAGACAGGAGGAGACAGAACATAAACCAGACCAGAGGTCTTTGTTCTAGATCACCAGGGAAAATACCATAAGTATTTGAACCTTGTTAAAAGAGCAATTCTGTTTTATGTTTGTGTTGTATGTTTATGTTGTTTTTAGTGTAGTGTGTGTCACTCTTCTTGTTAAATATTTGCTTAACCAAATGTGACTGAATTACTACTCTTTTCATCAAAACTGTGGTAGAGGACAGAAAATTCACACGCCTCTAACTATAACAATGGCTCAGGTATATTGTTGGCAAAATCATTTACAAGCTGGGGGTTCTGACAATTTATTTTACTACTTGATTTATCCACTCAGTCATTTTCCGATATTTCTCCAATGTCTTAAACCCCCATTTGTAACAATATATACATAGCATATTATAGCTGTGATCCTAATTCCCGGTCTTGGAGAGCAATAACCCATAAATACCTAAAATTGTAACTGAGACACACTAAGTCAATAACTTAGTTTAATCAAGTCATTAAGAACTGAAGTAAATGAAAACCCAGAGGATGATGTGGTACTGTAGTCTTTTTTTAAAGAAGGCAGTACTTTTAAAGGTTTTCAAAATTATGGGATTTTTTCAACAAATGTATTAAAATATGTTAAGAATAACCCCCATGAACTATTTTGTTATGAAAATATATTACTTTTCTCTAAACTTAGCATTTTGCTTATTTTTAAGCCAATATTCTCTTATTATAATATCTCCCAAGTCAGCTAAGCAACTGCACATTTTCTTTGTCTCGGAAGTTGTCTTTAACGTCTAATAATGATCTGTTGTTGTAAATCCAGTACAAAGTATCTTTCAGAGCACCATATCTTTTTCACATTTATGTCAAACTCATTCCATTGCACTTAAAGAGGGTGAACATTACATAGAGGAATATTAATTCCTGTTATTTATCTTTCAGGTTTAAATAGTTTAGGTGAGCTGTCTTGAAGGTTATTGTGTTAGTAGACATATTGTAACATTGACCTACAGGTTGTCTTCCTTGGGGTGCTATATGACAATGAAGAATGGAGTAATTCTCTGCCTTTACAAGTTCTTTTCTATTTTAATACTCCTCAAATCTATGTCCTAACAAATAAATTCTTAGACTTTGTTAATATGCGGAACCACAGGCATTACACAGGGGTGCTGGGTAAGTGTGAAATGATGTGTATATGAACAAAGAGAAATTATTATACTGTATATGTTTATATTCGTGCTATCCTTTGCAAAAGTATCTGGCATCTTAATTTCCTTATTTATTTAGACCCTGTGCTAATTTCAATAGATTATGTCTTAATTTAGTTTTAGGGGATTTGTACTTATGAAAATTAGTCTATTCTAATAACATTTCAATTATTCACTTCATACAAAAAATGATGTTATAAAATAAGATATGATATGATATTTTACAAGACAGGGATCCAGATTATTGTAATCTAATGATTTGATTCTTGCTGTTTTCTAGTTAAAATTTTTTTTTTACAAAAATTATATTAGTTCTTCCAATACATATGTGTAAAGAGGCTAGCTATATACAGTAAGTGTTTCTGTGTTGATATACTGGCAATTAATGATTCAATTCAAAAGAATCTGACTACTTTATTTGTTGCTTACTGAGATTCAGAAAGTTGCTCTCTTCCAGTTTCTTTACAGTTGATTCACTGAGATTTCAAATGTGATTTTTATTAAATTTCAACATAAACAGTTTTAAACAAGTCTAATTCAGAAAAGTCTAAGTCTCATTATTTCACAAATAAAAATAATTTATGTCAGACCAATACATTTTCCATGTACAAAAATATTTTGGTGTTGCAGGTTGTCCTACGAATGAACAGCTGGTTTTTGTGTGTAGATGTTGGTTGTCAGGTTGGATTTCAGTTTGTAGTTGTTGTAGTACCAGGTTAGTAGGCAGGCCAGTAGTGGAGGTAGCAGATCTATTGTAGGTCTGTCTTTGTAGTATCTTATCCAGGGAATTCTGTTTTGTTTATTACTGTCAGTCTTTACGTAAAGCCAGAAACCTCCAAGACCTTCAATTATTCACCAATATTTGAAGTAGGTCATGTCTGAAGATCTCCTGAGGCAATGATTTTCCACACTAAAAACAAGGATTAGTTCAAATCAAGATGAGATATTGGTTACAGGGACTAAAAAACATATTTCTCTTAAATACCGTATGTGGTAAACTAGTACTCTGAAAAACATACAAATTAGTCTTTCCCTTAACTACAGTACTGTATGTGGTATACTACTGTATGGTCATTGGTGAAAAGAATACAAATTAGTAGACTTTATGTCCTTGTCATCTGTAAATCATAATACATCAAATAAATCACAATCACATGTTAAACATTAACATGCTATTTAAAAAAAAGTCTGTTTATAATTTTTATTAATAACCCACTTTTTGGTGTTTCCTGTGGTTAATTAACTTGTCTATCACAATGTTATCCAGTACAGAAGGAAGATGACTGGGGACTTTAACATATTGTTGCTGTCTGCCATTTGTTTTACAATTACAGTCCCTCAGTGCACACAGAAGAGTTAATATTTATTTGATGACTGATGTGAGTATTCTCTACAAACTCGAGGTGCCCATCAAGTCAGAATTCATTATGGTGCTGCAGAAGAAAGATAACTCAGCAGAGTGGTTCTGTGCCCTGGTCCTGGAGTACCCCTGCTTCTGCTGGTTTTTGATTCAAACTAGGCCTTTAGTCATAATGGTGATAATTGGTGACTGCAACTGTTTTGCTTGTTAGTTTAGAGCTTCTGTCTGCACTAAGTTCTCGATTTCTAAAGTACAGTCCCATCTACAGTCCCAGCTTGCACCCTCCTAGATTAAAACTCTGGGAAAACTCCGATCTCCCTGAAACGCTAAGAAAGGAAAAAACATAAACCATTTGTAACGGGAGCCAGTTCAGACTCCTGTGTAGTGCGTATTTTGGACCCTTTGCAGACAGTATAATCCAGAATAGACTGGAGAAGGGTAACAGGGAAACACAACAGGATCAGAATAGGATGACTGACAGGGGGGCGTGACGGCAGTGTTCTGGTACTCGGGAAGATGGTCAGGACGCTGGGGAATAAGACCTGCTCTCAGGCTACCCGTGAGGCCAGGGAATAGGCAAGCCTTGTGGCGTCCATCTTCTAATGCTGAGTGCAGAGCTTGGGAAGCACGGGGTTTAAATAATACACATAGAACAAGGGGCAGGTGAATGTAATAATTAAACTAAAATACAAAAGGTGTTGGAGCACCCTCTAGAGGAGGGTTAAGAAAGAGTTTTTTAATCCATTTAAAAATAAAACAATGGAAATGTTTTTTTTTTCTGAAAGGTTATATCACTTACTGCACTTGAATGAAATGTTCCCTTTTACTCAGCTTTTAGGAAATGAGACAAGAGAACCTACTGTAGTGTAAACCTGGTGTGATGAATCTGACAGTTGGCTGGTTCGTTTAAAATGAGGAATCTTAAGGTGGAGGAGAATTTCATAGTGACTGAATAAGAATGACTACAAAGAACATTAGATATAATAAATGTTTATTCACACTCAGCTCTCACAGGTTATACTTATTTTGTTCCACTAGACAATCATATCTAAATATGAAACATGAATTCTATGATGATGATTTTTGTTTCAATTTCATTTTCATTTTTTTTTTTTTAATTTAAGCTTAAATTAATTTGTGACAGCCCCCAAAAAACAGAATCACATTTTGGCATACAAATATGGATGTATGCATTTCAATACAATAGATAATTCTCTGTTGCTTTCCTGGTCTTCAATAGTCTTCTGCATCCCCAGCCAGAATTGCAAGTAATGCACTTTCATAATGTCCAGAGGCAAAATGCTGAAAAGGTGTAGAACAGTGTTTATAATGCAATAAGAGGAACAGAATGCTTAAAATAGACATAAGCTGAAATGAAATAGTAAATTTTATATACAAATCAAAATGATTAGAAATGAAAAGCACTACAGAGAATGCCTCTGTCTCCTTCAAAACAGAAGACTGAGATTATTTACTGCGTGGTTTTCAATTATTAGATTGGTCACAATTTTGATTTTTTTATCATTGATTTTGATTTTTCCCACTACTAAAACTGGTCTGCTGTAACTGTAAATTATAAAAGATGTTAAGTATTTTATGCAAAGAAAACCAAAGGGGTTCATTGTGGTCTTTCAAATTAGGTTCAGTCCATGAGAGGAGAAGTGACAGATTAGAGGGACAGGTGCAAATGAAACTCTTGAGAAAATGCTGTCTAAGTTTTGGTTGATAATCCATTGTTTCATTTCTAATGAAGTTATTATACCTGAGAATCAGAAATGAATTTGATCATTTTTACTAAGAAAATATTTGCTTTGTTTCCATTATGTAAATACTTTATTTAACAAAGGGGGAAAGCTCTGAATTTTACAATAACAATAAACATTAAAAGTTAAATCTTACTCTCTAAGGCATATTTGCTATTCTTCATATTTATAACAGAACACATTTTCTGTGCTACAAACTTAGCTAATCTTTCAGTATGGATAACAAACTAATTTAATTTAATGCTTATTCAGCAACATTGATGTTTAATGGGTACTGTTCACTGGTTTAAATCTAGAACTGTACTAATAACTGTACATTAGGAGTGGACCGCAGATCCACCATAAATTAAATTAGCTCCATGTAATGTATTTGACAATTAATGTTTATTACACAAACCTAATAGTGACAGTGCTTTTTCTGGCACAATGAAAAGGTCTGGAACAATATTATAACACTTGTTTTATAATTGTCATTCGATCCACAAAAGGAATTATATTTATTAAAAGTCATTTGAATGTGTTGTGTGAATCCCAGAAGAAAAAGCACAATGTATTTCTGATTAAGTGGATTCAAACGTTTTTAAAATCAAAATCTGTTAATAACAGTTGTACTTTTTCTAACTCATTGTGTGTTAAGACACAATTTACATTAGAATTAGGAAAAATATGAACTGATGTAACATCTGATTTTGTAATGCACTAAATAATAAATAATAGATACAATAAATGTTTTTTACCTTAATATCATGGAAAAGTGACTTTCCATATCTTTCCTTGTACTTCCTTCTTATTTCCTTAAGATCCACTTCACTTCTTGACACCAGTATTCTGATAACTGTGTTATTGTGAAAACCATATTCCTAAAAAACAATCCAGGTTTAGAGTAAGAATATCAAAACAGTGTTGTTTAATTTAAACTTAAACTGCAATGTAATCTATTTTAGTTTGTATAGTAGGTTAAACAGTGGTATATTGATAGTTTTTTCTTATGCAACTTGTATGTATATCTGTTAACTTTTTGGGAGATAATTAGTTCAAACCCTTAAAAGATCAAATAAATACAAGTAGGTAGTCTTTTCAGAGGCAGATGTAGGTGTATTTCTAATTATTGAATTGGACCTATTAAAGTACAACTTAGATACTGAGGTGAGCAGCAGTAGCTATTGGATCAATTAACTACTGTACTGTGGACTGAATGGCCTGCTCCTGTTTTTAACTTTTGTTAAGTTCTTAAGTTCATAGAAATCTTAGAAACCACAATATATTTTAAAACAGTGTATTGGGAGTAATGCCTCTTTTTCAAATAGTTTTCTAATAGTTTTCCTCAATCCATATTATAACTGCTTTATCCAATATAGTGACGTGGAAGAGCTGGGGCCTCCCCTAGCAAGCAACGAGACCAAGGCAGGATAGACCCTCCAGTCCATCACATATTTTTATATTACTTCATTTTAATTCTTATAACTTCAAGTTCCATTCCAGTAAGTTAGCATATGTCTAAGCATATGCAACAGGAAATAGTGTCTCTTACTGACATCCTTTTTTTATTCTTCTTCAATTCTAGTTTATCATTAATTGCAAAGAAAAACCTTTGTATAAACTAAGTGATTGCAGTTTGTATAGTTAACCGCCAGGGGGAAATAGTGTCCATCTATTCCTGTGCTTCAATGTCCTTCATTTTCTCAGTGATGATACAGGGAACAGCCGACTATTTGTCATTATGAGATCAAGTCATATTAGTAGATGAGACGTTTGTGCACTTACATGAATGGCATTGTAGAGTCTGTAGGTAAAGTATGATGTTCTGTCACGGACACAGAGAACTTAATCAAGAGAAAACAAAGGAAAACAAACCAAAGAAGCCGTCAATGGAATTGAAATTGCTAAACTATAGCACTTTTTTCATAAAATACTTTATTCTCTGCTTACCAATAGCCACACAAAGCTCCTGGAAGTACCCATCATAACACATACGAAGGGCATCAATGATGTCTTGCCCAGAGATATTCTGAAATTCTTGAAAAACTTAAATTGTAAAAAAAAAGAAAATAGGTAGGTGCATTTCTTGTGGCACTGATATACAGTAAACAATTAAAAATCTTTCTTTTTCACCTTAACAGACAGTATAAGGTTATTTCCCTCTAGACAGTTGATCCAGTTCCTCATACAATATGGATAAATAAGTGACAGGAGCTATAAATTAGAAAGGTCACTTGTTTTCTTTGCATATTATTATACTTTAACCTTTGTGTAAGTATCTGGAGTCATAAAAGCTCAAAATGAAAGGCAATCTTGTTTTCCCCATTTATACTAGTCATTCCAAAACTCACTTAATCATTCTAAAATCTCAATCTGACCAGGTAATTTTATGTTCTTAGGCCTTATCTTTTCTTGCAGTTTCCTTCTAGCTAATCAAGCACTGATAAACATGTGTTCCCACATTTTTAATGGCCTAGTTTGTCATTACCCATCCACAGCTGCTGATAACTCTTACTGCACAGGATCATTTGCAGCATAGTTTTATGCTCTCCTGTTTTTTGCTGGCATGCTTCCCACAGAACCTGCAATGTAATAAGAAACACTAGTTATACCTCCACTGATGGTATTCTTGAGTGCTAAAAAAGCATAATATTAAGATGGCTCCATTATAAATATTTTATTTACCATAGCATCCTGAGAAGCTGTGCCAGGATCAGCATAAGCTTGTTCTCTGACACCCTGTAAAAACAGCATATTTATTAATATTGTTCAAATCAGTATTGCATATGAATGCAGATCATGACATGAATATACTGTATCATACTGTACTAGTGCTTTTTGGAATTTTACTCTTACTGTCTCAAAGATGTAGATGGATTTTTAAAATAAACAGAATTGTAAAGTTCTGCAAAATGTAATATATATACAGTATATATATCACTCGTAATATAATGGGCTTTCCGTGCAGTTTGGAAAAAACACTGCCCTTTTGTGACCATTCATATTTTAAATGCTTTTTCCAATACGGGTCTATCCCTGGATGGAATGGGAGTAAGGCGAGGTACACTCGGGACAGGATGCCAGCCCATCACAGGGCACAGACACACACACCCTCACACCAGGGCCACTTTTCCCATAAGCCAATTAATCTACACATGTCCTTAGACTGTGGGAGAAAATTGGAGCACCCACCTATCCCCCCTATTTCTAACCACCTTTCAAAAACATTATAGTCACTATGTTTCTTCACTGTGATAAACAGGGTTTTGGAAATGTGCTATAGTGTGTATGTAATACAAATGTATTGTAACATGAGCAATAAACACACAGAAGAGTGAAAATGGAAGTGCTCTTTCATTAAGCAAAATGGAAGAATTTCACTATCCTTTTTCCTAACAACAGAAATTTTATTTCAAACTAAAAATCTTACACAATGAGTGCTGCTGCAACAAGCAATGCAATTTCTACTGTATTACAAACATTCTCAAAACAGTGATTGTCTTTTAGCAATCCAAACAAGTGGATGCTGGATTTGCATAATAATTTCACCCTTCTTTAAAGGACTGCTCTCACCAACCCACAGAAGGAAAAAGCTCACCCCCCACAATATACAGTGAAGGTGGTGAGTCATGACTAACTGAGGCCACAGATCGGGAAAACATGGGACAGTCACACGTGTACACTCAGATACCATGTACACAAACCCCTGGACTTCCCCAGAGTCAAAGGAGTCAGCAATGTCCCTGATAGTTCCCATCTATCCCAGCATGCTCTCCTGGGGCTGACATTACCGGCCAGCTGCTTGTCTGCTGCTTGTCAGCGTATAGTGCCCCATCACTGCTTGATGAGGGTGCCACAGTCTTTATCTTACACATATTCTAATTGATGTGTCCACCTAATCAATTAGGTTTAATTGGAATAAGTACCTGGGAAAGGTTAATCAGCATATCACGGAAGTGTCCAGATGTTTCACTGTAGATGTCTTCTTGAAGATCAGTGTTGTATTCTATTTGCCCAAAGAAATGCTAGTACAGGTTATTTTTTGTATTTAACAACTACAGGTAATTTAAATGTTTTTGATGCAAATTGTGACAGAGAAAAATAAAAACGCATAATACCCATGAAGTAAGCTTCTTTGATCCTGAAGATCTCTTCATTTGTTCTGGAAGCAAGAATATCAATGAGGCAGTTTTCCTCTGTTTCTTCACCCTACAAAATCAGTACAATATGAAAGAAAGGCAATCATGACAGTTAAGCAAGAAGAAGCTTAATGCATTTGAAACTCTGTCCAATTAAAACATAAAAGTTGGAACTGTTGGAAAATAGAGTCTACAGTACTTTAATTTCACAGGAAGGACACAGAAATGAGCTTTAACTTTCTTTTCTATACCAGTTCCAATTTATTTTACTCTGTTGGTTACAAGGTTTAAATAATTGTATGAAACTCACCATTAGCAAACTACTTCCAAAAAAGACATATTAAAATTTTGTACAATTCTTAAAGTGGTTTGTAGGGGGCTGCGCAACATAGCATATAGATAGTTGGTACAGTGAATCTTTGGACTTATTAGTGGCAGGTGGCACTATTTTTTTAAGTCCCTGTAGCAGACACTGCTATTACCCTTAATGTAAGGTACCTTACTTTGGTTTGTCCAGCCAACCCAGTTATATAAGCTGTATTATAACTTTGACATAGCTATAATATAGCGTATATTGCTGTATCCCAGAGTGGGGGGTCAGCTGTTCTCACCAAGTCACTTGTTCTCACTCTGGTATGGACCTTTTTTATCAAGTACTTGTATGTGACAGGGGATAAAGCTCAGAAACAGAAGAAGTGGTTGCAGTTACAGTCTAGCTGACCAGCCACTGGAGGTTAAATTAATTACTTTACAAAAGTCACAGGGTGGGTGATTAATTTAATTAATGGTTAACTAATAAAGTAGAATTTAGAATTTTATTTTCTCACATACTGTAGGTGCAATTAGGTATTTAAAGAGTGTTTATGGGGTGAGGGGGGGTTGCAGATCCTTGGACCACCATCGGTGAGATGGAAGATCTGTCAAATGCCAGTAATAAAAAAGGGCAACTAAAACTTAAATCTTTTCAAAGCTGCAGACCCCCAGTCTCCTATAAAGGCTAGAGCTTAACAAGAATACAGAGCATCTTCACATAGCTTTATACTGATAGTCTCCTCTGATTTCCAGATCCAGAGGTACTGTATATTAGATCCTGAGAAAATCACAACCGCATGCAGAGTTCACAGCAGGTACCAATTTTCACAGAAGCATTTTTTTACAATAATACGTTTTTGTTTACAGTATGAAAAAAATAAAGTTTAACCTTAAACCACAGAGGGTAGTAGTCTCAACTAATAAAAATGCAAACACCATGCTGCATGAGAACTAGAATCCTTTAAGTCTAAAAGACTTGATGATTAAAAAGCAGTAGATTTGAATGTTTGGGAGTTGTATATTGTCACGGATATCAGAAGGGCAAGCCGTGGAATGACAAGGAGAGCAGTAGAGACCCTACGCATAGCGGTAAAAGGGGCAACACAGAGGTTAGCCCAGGCTCAGGGGGTCAGACGATGTCGGTAAGAAACCTATGCCTACGGACAGGAGCAACATGGTGCCATGCGGGTCTCAGGACATTGTACCCACAATGCTGAGCGAGGAGCAGAGCAGACACTGGAAGTAAATAGGCTACACAACCAGACACACCAGAAAGACATGAATAATCACAGGGAACTAGGAACAGGACAGAAGTAGAGGGCCCTCTAGGTGTACAGGGTGTGACATATATCCCATTAAAGCTGAGTATTATCCTACTGTTCCTTGTGTTTATTTTTATTGATTACAGTTGAGCTGTAAAAATCTACCCATATGCCAAAACACTACACCTACAGTAGCTTCAGCAAAGATGGGGAAAATTCACAAGTACCGTCTGGCCAGTTTTGTGATGTTGGGAAATCTTATTTGTAGTTCTTTATAAAGTAGTCAAAAATACTGTAGGTGTTGCATTGGATTTGCATAAAATCTGAATTATTCCAATTGAGCCTAGCATTTCTTGATAGAGCCTGATATAACATCCAGCTTGAGGGTATTCAAATTTATACTATATGCAGAGCAGATTCTTAACTATGCCCTTCTTCAAATACCAAGTCATATAATTAAAACTGTTTACAATCTAAAACACAATAAATATCTACTGCAAACATTTCTGTTTTGACACACCACATAGCGAATCTTTTTAATAAATGTATGGAGAACGTTACTGGTTAGCAAAATAAGTGCATTTTACATTTTAAAATGTTTTAAGGGGGAGGTGGTAACTAAAGTGCCATTATCTCAGGGGCTTTCAATGTAAATACTTTATATAACAGATGCCCCTGACAACCATACATTCTAGAGGACATGTATACAGCGAGTGTGTCCAATCCTGGTCCCAGAAGGCTTGTGTGTTTGCCGTTTTTTTCAAGGTCTCTTTAAAGCAGAAGCACCTGAAGAACTGAGGGAAGCTGTTAAAGTAATCTAGTTATACCACTAACCTGTTAGGAAAGAGACATCATGTTTTGACTGTGGAGCCTTCTTCAGGTGTGACCCACAGGTTATGTCTCTTTCCTCTTCAGCATGGAATAAACTTTTACCTATTCCTTTGAAGCCTATGCATGCTGATGCAGCTCCCTATTTGAACTTCACTATTCAGTTAGTTTAGCTCATTCCAAGCCGGGATGAATTCCTGCTGCCCTCTAGGAGTATACAATGTTGAGTTCACATTGTTGTCTTCTTCTCTTCTGTAAAGGTGAGGTGAGTTGATCAGGGGCTGTTCATCCTGAATTTGTGTCTGTATTAAAAATAAATGTACTGTTTCTTTCAATGACAAGCAAAGATTTGGAGGACAACCAAAATTCAACCAAAAGGGGGCTGGGATGTATCTGATGTTTGAAAAACCTTTACAATCGTGCAAAAGCAGAAATATGACATCAGTCAAAATGTAAAATGTTTTAAAAATATTAGGGAAAAAAAGTATGGTTCACTCAGTGGATACAAATCACTTTAAGCTAGCACATGAGATAATGTAACACATGGTAGCAATGACAGGTAAAGTATTCTGGGTCTCACAGACCTTTCATTCATAGTTTTCTGAAGGTCTTAATTTCAGGTTTGCTGTATAGTTTACTCCACAGATATGAAAATGATCTGCTTAACATACAGCCACTGATCTCGACTATAATGTGGAGAGGACTAATCATCTTCAATAACCGTTAAGTCCAATACAGGGTTGCAGTGAGCCAGAGTCCAACCTTGTAAACATTGGATGAAAAACAGGGTACACACACGTGACAATTTAAAAGCCCCAATTTATCTAGACAGCAAGTCCTTGAAGGATGGAAAGTAATTGGTGAAAACACACAAGGGCAACTGGTATCCAAGCGATGTATTGTACTATCTTGTCATTGCTCAGGTTAACCTTCCAAATGTAGCATCTGAGATAGGAGGGAACTGGCTAGGGATGCCATTGTGAGGTGAAGGACCACTTGGAAACAGAATTTAATGGCTAAGATGGGAGTAAATGAGAAAATTGCCATGAGTGAACAATATCCCAGTCACTCCACGAAGCTGGGCTGAATACCACCAGAGTGGCAGACCTGCCTCAAATCCTGCATGACGTTTGCAAAGCAATGACACTGCAAACATGTGACAAAAGGTTTTGTGAACAGATCAGACAAAAGTGGTCCACATGCAAAGAATTTCATTTGAAATAAACCAAACACAACACATCTCCCTTGTCAATGGTACAGCATGGTGATGGTCACATTATGTTATAGTTCCACTTGTCAAGTAGGAAAATGGATGGAATAAAGTACAGGGAAATTAGAAAGGAACAGCAGCTACAGTCTGATAAAACTGAAATGAAAATTCACCTTTCAGCAGAAAAGTGGTGCAAAGCACAGCGTCATAGATACACTGGAATAGATTAATAAGAAGAAATAGAATATTCCTGTGAGGTCCAGACTTGAATCTGATAGAAAATTTGTAGCAATATTTGTTATCAATGATCTGTAACCAACTTGACAAAGTTGGATGAGTCCGGTAGAAACATATGCAAAAGGATTTGCAGCTGTACTTGTAGTCAAAGATGCTTCCACCAAGTGTTGACTCAGGGTGTGAATACTTATTAACTTAATAAGTATTAACTTATTTCTTTCACTTTATTATTTTCATCCACCCCTCTGGTTTAGCAATCAGGTTTTGATTAAATATAAATCTGGCTTCATTACTCTGTTCTCCTTTCCACTCAGAGCTGGTGTGTGGTGAGCATACTGGTGCACTCTGTCTGCCCTCGCATCATCCCGATGCAGATGGTGGTTGTGGAGGGGAGTCCCCATTACCTGTAAAGCGCTTTGAGTGGAGTGTCCAGAAAAACACTATAAAAGTGTAATGAATTATAAAATGAAAAATCATTGGAAGGGTCTGAATAGTTTTGAAAGGTTCTGTGTGACCATTGGAACAAGTAAGACCTATCTCAGTCTGTGGCATTTATCATCAAGTTTATATACTGTTGTTCCAGGAAATGTAATGATTCTTCTCATTATTTCTTGTAATGAATATTGTTTTCATTTATACTGTCAATAGAATTGTTTCTGTCTACAGAAAACAATTCAGGAAGCTTCCATCACAGGAGAACCGGTACACATGTTTGTATTGTCCATTGCAACTAAAGGTCACTTAACAAGATACTGTAGATGAAGTGTGAGCATTCCTCCAATGAAAATGAAACTTTTATTTGAATGAAATAAGAAGTGTTTTGGCATATTAAAGTAGATTAAATTGGTGATAGGTTTTTGTATTGCACACTTACATAACAACATCTCATCTGTGTGAAATAAATCCTTTTCATTGTGCAGAAAAAATAAACATGGAAAGAATAATTCCCTCCTTTAATCAGACAGAATTTGCATTATATAGGTTTCTGATCTGAAAAATAATAACAGCAGTTAGAATGAACAGTTTCCTATTCTGTAGTTTTTATATTTACTTATATTTTTATTATATCATTTTGTTTGATATATTTTTAATTGTTTATTGTTTTAATATTTTTAATGTATTAATCATTTGTAAATATCAGTAATCTAATCTTAGTAGCTTGTGATTTTACACCATTAAAAATGTGTCCTGTGGTCTACTCTCCAATTACAGGATGAGAGT